GGGGGGGGGGGGGGCCCTTCCCCCCCCCCCCCCCCCCCCGCCTTGTAGAGGCGTCCCCGCAGGGCCGCGCCGAGCCATCAGGAGAGAGCCTTGTCCCTCAGCTCAGGGTTGCCCGGGGCTGGGCCCCTCTTCAGGCAGTCTTTGGCATTTGTAGTGAAGGATGCTCTGAAAGGCTGTTTCTGCTGGCTCGGGGCAGAGCCTGTATTTGTCCACCCGATACAGACAGCTGAACCATCCATGTTTGTATTCTTAACACGTCTACGTCGTACGTACGCATTTGTATTGACACACAGATACCCCACGCCTGCACACTTCTTCATATGTACTTGTATTTATACACAAACGCTGGAGAGCACAGTCTCTGCTCCTTCTAGCCCAGACATGGCAGGCAGGGGAGGTGCAAAGGGACGATTACCTGGGGGAGCAGACGGAGGAAGAACTGAGAGGAGGCAGAGGGAACACCTGATGTGCTTCAACTGAAATGCACGCGTGATACAGATTGCACAAATGTTAACGCACACAGCTCATCTCCTTACTCTACAGGCATGGGTCATATCTCTGGCCTTCCTGAGAGGCTCACAGGGGTACCCAGCAGACAACCTGAACCTAGCCCTCTTTGGCAGTTCAAGAGACCCCCGCCACACTGGCTCTGCCCCCTTTCCTCCGTAGCTATGCTTGCCTGCCACGCATCTGGAGCAGTGCCCACCTCTTGCTGCACATGCTGCACCATGGAGCTCTTGATTTCTCTCTGAGCTACCAGGCTCCTCCTAAGACGAAAACTGGTAACTGACACTGCAGTGCTGGGACACGACACATTTATTTATCCTCCACTCTTTGTTTAGAGCTTCATCGCAGCTCTCATTCTATTGTTGCTTCTTCCCAAAGGTCCTAGTTGCCAGAGCCATATTTTTAAGTAGAAGCTTCAGGTGGCATTTTAATATTCTCCGTGAAGCGCGATTACAGATATTAGACCTGTAACATGAACTATCTCTACCGAATCTGAGCCAGGAGGCGTGCAGCAAGAACCTCCAAGTATTATTTTATAAAGCAGATCCACACTAAGGCAGAGTCCTACTTTTGCAGGCCCAACTAAGGCTTTCAGAGCGCCTCAAGGCTGAGAGGACTGAAGACAGCATGCCACAACAAGTGTGTAGTTCAGTAAATTAAATTGAGCAGTTGTAGACAGATCAGAAGCCTGTACAGTTTATGGAAGGATTTGCTGTGATCTCACTGGGTTTTGGTCTGGCCCATCATTTTAAAATTCAGTTATACTCATGACTTTCAAGCTTCCTTAGTTGGCAGACTCCCAAGTTGCTCTCATGAGGACACAACTTGTTTGTAACATGCTTAAGCTTCCTGCAACAGGCTTGGTTTTCTCAGTTACTGGCCCTCAAGCCTTTAGAAGCAGTCCCCAGACCCCAACAACCCACAGGTTCAGGCTGAAAATGCAGAAGCTAGTCCTGAGGGCAGTGGGATAGCTACCCCATCTGCTGCCCACCCCATGCCATCAGCAAGATATTCTTGGACCAGCTCCATCCAGTGGCTGGCATCAGAGAAGCTCACTTTTCTTGTCCTGCCATGCCATTCTGAGGAAGTAAGGTCCTATTGCAGGATCTGGCCTGTCTGTAATCCATCTTAAATAGCTGGTAAAGATGATACCATCATAAGAAACAGCAATGGCAAGTCATTACATGTTAGTTCTGGAGGAAGTGTGACCAAAACCCAAACTGTTCCTCAAAGAGCAGAGCCAATAAACCAGATTTCTTGAAGATCTGTGTCTCAAGTGCCCTCTGCCCAGGGAAAGCTGTTGGTATCTAACGAACTCGCAGTGCAACCTTTCCCTCTGCAGGTCAGGAACAGCAACTTCCCTTTCTGCTCTCTTACAAAACAGGATTTACTGCCTTTGAGGTTTCTCTCATTCATATGTGCACATTTCCTCTGATCTGTTTATAATATACCTTGTTTCTTTGTAGGCTCGTCTTGGTTCTTTGGGGTTTTTTTAGAATGTTGTGCATTTTATAACTTTTTTCTTTCACTTAGGTACTGCTGGATATTCTGTCTTTAGGTACGTCTTTCTCCATTTCCTTTCTGTTATATTCATAGTCCTATAATCCAAAGCAACCTTTCAGTAGATTGCTCTCTTTTTTCCCCTCCACTATGATATTACTATAGCCTACATTACTGTCATACCCAGGGGCACCAACCAAACTAGGCACTCCAAACAGTCACTGTACAAACATCCTAGCAGAAACAAACAAAGTCCCCAAGTGCATTAAAACAGACAGGACAGAAAAAAGGCAGAGGCAAGGAAAGCACAGAGGCTAAGTGACTTCCCAAAGGAGACAAAGTTGCTCAGTGACAGAATAACCACCTGCAAGCCCGATTCTTCTTTGTCCTGGATCTTGTGTTTCAATTTGCAGCCGTGCATTTATATTCCCTCACTGTTGCTCTGGCACCATTCTTCTTTCCCTAAAATCACTGTAAAACATGTGACACACCTACACCCTTTCAACTTGAGCACCCCAGAATTAAAGACTTTAACCCTTTCCACCACACATGGAATGATTTCCCACCTCCCCGAATATAAAGCACAAATGGAGATGTATGCACTGCCCTTACTACACATGTGCTCTGCCTGTCTTTAGCCCTCCCCTCTCTAAAGCATCTCAGCATGCCCCAGACTATGAACCTGTAACACTGGGTCAGCTGCTTTTCCTGACTATCTTCAGCTCAGCTACTTTGTCCTTCTGACCCAATACCACTTCAGAGGATCTCCTGCCTTCCCTGATTTCACCGACTGGTTACAACTGGCTGTTTCAAAACCTCCTCTGATTCCACCTTTTAGAGAGACCAGATTCCTCAGCTTTGCCCTGTCAGAAAGTTCGACTCTAAATCGGAGCCATTCTGTGAGTTTCCATAGGGGAGGAACACAGCTCACCCTGCCTGTCGCACCCAAGATTCAGTAATGCCAGGGACCTGCTATTTGCAGCATTGTAACTTTCCACCTCACCTGCTGTATTTCCCTTTCCCAGAGCCTCTGTTTTCCCATGTGTTCCCATAGCATCAGTCTGGTGCTGTTGGTCTCACGGCCTTGCACCTGCAAACTCCAATGCTGGTGTTCAGGTGGGTTCTCACAGGAAATACGCTACCACTAGCATGAGAAATGCCTCCCTTCACTTCTCGTGTCTCAGATTTTAGTTTATAGAAGTGAAAACCCAAGCGTAAAGCACAGCAGAGTAGATAGCAGCCACCCAAATAACCGGTCAGCGCTAGCCCATAATGCACGGGCAGGGACGTGACGACCCAACAGGCCACAACGCTAACGGACCCGGCTGGCTCCACAGGTTTTCCTCAGCGCAAGCTGGAAGGGGAAGAGCGAACTGGAGAAGTACCCCAGCCCGGGGCTCGAGCCCGGCCCAACCTCCTGCCGCCTCCCCCGCTACCTTTCTGAGGGTTAATTAGCAGACCCGTGGATTAAAGCTCCTCAGGGTGCTGCCGGTACCGGTGGCGGCTCCGGGGTCGGAGGACAGCCGTCCTGCCCCGCCGCCGGCCGCTGCGTCCCGGCCAGGCGCCGGGGCGGGCAGCCCGCCTCTCAACCCCGCCGCGCAACCCTGCCCTCCGCGCCAGGGGAGGCGGTAGCGAGCCACGCAGTAGCAAGCCACTCGGCCTCGAGGCCCACGGCCGCTCTGCCCCCGCCGCTCTCCATGGTTAGGCCAGGCGCCAGAAGCGGCGGCGGGGCGATGGCTGCAGAGGGGAGGGCGGCGGCGGAGCTGCAGCCGGAGGGGGAGGTTGGCGGCGAGCCGGAGGGTGGGCTCGGGCAGCTGCTGGACGAGGAGGAGGAGGACGCCGGCTACGTGCTCTACAGGTACGGCCGGGGCGGCCGCGACGGGCCGCTCTCCGGCACGGGCGGCCAGGCGGGGAAGGGGCCGAGC